GGAAGACTTATTTTGAAATGAAAAAAGCTTTTAAGAACATGCTCCTGGAAAAAAAATTTGAGTTCGCACTAGCCAAATGGTCTAAAATTGTTACTGCATTAGAAATTAAAGATACCAAAACTTTTTGGTCACTTCTCTCAATAAAAGATATCACTGATTTCCCTAATATTAGCGATGAGGCTTGGATCTCACATTTTACTGCTGTTTTTTATGATCACCAAGTTTGTAAAAAGGAAAATTTTAAATTTTCTCAGGCAAAAACCACACAATTTCAAATTACTGTGGAGGAGATGAAAAGGATAATCTTCTCGTTTAAGCAAGGGAAATCACCTGGTATGGATGGCATTCCAATAGACCTGGTGAGATTAGATGTAGAATGGTGGGCCAACAAACTTGTACCGCTTTTTAATTCTATCTATCACTCAGCCCTTGTACCTAAGTCGTGGAACAACTCAATAGTGGTACCGATCTTTAAAAAAGGTGATAGGAATTGCCAAGAGAACTACAGGCCTATAAGTTTGTTACCATGCATAAGTAAAATCTATGCCAAGTCTCTGCTTATTAAATTGGAAGAATGGATGCTGTCAAAAGGTCTACCTGGTAAAGAGCAGGCTGGTTTTAAGGCAGGCTCGTCAACTCTGGACCAGTGTCTAGTGTTAAGTCATCTTGTGGATAAATATGTCACGAGAAATAAACGAAAACTCTTTGTGGCATTTGTGGATTTAAAAAGTGCCTTTGATTCGGTCGACCGCAATAAACTATGGACTAAACTAGAACATCTTGGTATCGACCCATATCTACTTACACTGATTCAAAGTTTACACTCTAATAACCAAATATATGTTAAAGTATCAAAAGATGGTAGACTTGCAGGTCCTATTCTGAATAATCGAGGAGTTAGGCAAGGCTGTATCTTGGCCCCTACCCTATTTAATCTATTTTTATCTGACCTACCATTATTTCTTCAAAATGCAACCACACATACTCCTTATTTAAACAATTAAAAGGTAAAGGTACCCCTGCCCGTACGGGCCAGTCTTGACAGACTCTAGGGTTGTGCGCCCATCTCACTCAAGAGGCCGGGGGCCAGTGCTGTCCGGAGACACTTCCGGGTCACGTGGCCAGCGTGACATCGCTGCTCTGGCGAGCCAGAGCCGCACACGGAACACCGTTTACCTTCCCGCTAGTAAGCGGTCCCTATTTATCTACTTGCACCCGGGGGTGCTTTCGAACTGCTAGGTTGGCAGGCGCTGGGACCGAACAACGGGAGCGCACCCCGCCACGGGGATTCGAACCGCCGACCTTTCGATCGGCAAGCCCTAGGCACTGAGGCTTTTACCCACAGCGCCACCTGCGTCCCTTATTTAAACAATAGCCCACTCTTTTTATTACTTTATGCAGATGATGCTGTAATTATTTCACTCTCAGTTTTGGGTTTAAAAAAATTATTTAAGAGTTTCTCAAACTACTGCTCTCTCAATAATCTCAAAATTAATTATGATAAGACAAAGATTATGCAATTCAGAAAGAGAGGGAACCCAAAAGGCTGTATAATTAACGGACATCTAATACAGGAAGTGAAGCACTTCAATTATCTGGGATCACATTCAAAAATAATATGAATTGGAATACACATATATGTGCTGCAATAGTTAAGGCCAAAGTGACAGCCCACCATATTAAATCCTATTTTTTTTTCTCCAGTAGGAAACAGATTTATTCCAGCTGTATTGCAAGTGATTGACATGAAACTCTGTGCCCAACTTCTATACGGCACACCAGTGTGGATTTCAGGTGACCTCAAGAGGTTAGATAAATTCCACGCATCCCTTTTGAGGTCATTATTAGGACTTGCAAACTCTGTAAAATATGAAACAATATGTTGTGAGCTGGGAATACTGCCTTTATCAGTAAGAGCATGGCTGAGGACCTTGAAATATTGGATCTTCCTCCATTATAGAGCCCTATCCCCTAATTCTATACTTTACGGTCTTTTAAGTGATAGTGCAATCTACAATCTATCATTGATTTGTAGGAGAAAACTGGATTCGATAGGGCTCACTTTAACTGATTTTGAAATCTCTGATCCCAAAGATATATGGGAAATTATCAGGAAGACCTTCACAGAAAAAAGTGTTCTCGCCATGCTTGAGGTTGCAAAGCACAGCACCTGCTCTCCTATCCACCTAAATCTCCCTTTGTGTAGAGATTTCCAAAAGGGATACATGACAAATCTGAAGAAACATGAATCGTGTAGGCTGTTTATGTTGGCCAGATTTAACATGTTTCCCTCGGCGGTAGTGAGAGGAAGATACTTAGCTATCCCAGAATCAGAGCGTCTCTGTAAATGCGGAAAACAGGAACCCGATACTCTAGAGCATATATTCTTTTCCTGTGATTTTGGCAGCTATGCCAGAGGACAATTATTTGAGGCCCTAAAATTTAATAGACAGTTTTTTACACAACCTACTGTTCAGGACCTGCTGGCGGACAGCGATGATCAGATTACTTTGATAGCGGCTGAATTTTTGAGTGCTGTGCATGAAGAAAGAGTGGGCCATGATAGAGAGACTTAGTGGTTTTTAATGGTAGGTGATGTTGCTGTGTTGTATTGTATTATTTATGTACATCGACTTATTTCTTGGAGTTAAGAATAGGACTGGGATAAATTGTGTTCGATGAGCCCATATTTTATACAGTCTGTATATGATGTTTGTTTGTTAATGTGAGGTGTGATATGCCTAATAAAGGATTTTGAATTGAATTTAATGCAAAAGGTGAGTGGGCAACTTATAAAGAGCTGTTATCAGAAGTAGAAGACCAATTGAAAGTGGAAAAAACTGAGGATATATGACATTTAGTAACTGATTGGTTGCAATGTCACCAGTTAAATGATGTATTTATAAAGGATTAAAAAATGGTTTTAGTAAACAAATTTTGAGGTTTGAAAAAGATTTATTAGAGAATAATGTGAAATTACTTTCAAAAATGTATTAACTGTTGTTAGAATGGTATGCTAAAGATGAAGAAGTTAAATTAGTAATGATACAATGAACAAGGGATATTGGACATAATATACAACTTGCATCATGGGAAAAGTTATGGAGGGAAGAATTAAAATTTACAGCATGCTGTATGCTGAAGGAAAATTATATGAAAATTATGTATTGTTGATACCTAACTCCTACTAAATTAGCAAAAATATATAGAACCAAACCAACAAACACATGTTGGAAGTGTAAAGAGAAAGAAGGCACATGTGGATGTGCAAGATGACAAAATCATATTGGGAAATGATTTATAATGAGTTGAAAAAAATGTTTAAAATTACTTTTGTAAAAAAACCAGAAGCCTTTTTATTAGGAATTTTAAGTCCAGAAATACCAAAGGAGCAGAAAAGACAAACAGTAGGCTATGACAGCTGTGTGGATGTTCTTTGCCCAAAGATGGAAGGAAGACAAGGTACCTACAAGAGAAGAATGGCTAACAAAGATAATGGACTACGTTGAAATGGCGAAAATGACCTGGAGGGCAAAATGACCTGAAGATAACAAATTTAATAAAGAATGGGGGGGGTTAAGTTACTTAAAAGAACACTGTAAATAATTAAAACATTGGCTGGATTCTAAAAAAACACTTGCAATGTAGTGAGAACTATGGCAAGAATTGAGTGTTAAGAAAATATGGAGAACATTATATGATACAGTATGGAAACCAAGGAGGGGCGAAGGGAAGTCCAGAGATTCAGAGAATCCTATGTCTACAAGATAATGATTGATTTGTGATGATAATTGTTAAAGGTAAAAACGACTTTTAAAGAGAGAGAGAGAGAGAGAGAGAGAGAGAGCGCAGTGTGGGATTCGACAATTTACATAATCAACTACTGAATTCTGGGACCATACAGAGTCTGGGGTAGGATATAGGCACAAAAAAGGGAAGTTAGTCGGGACGAGGCAGAACAGAAACATCCCCCTTGCATAAAGTAAAACCAAATCCTTCTCCGTTCCTAGACAAGCTCCCAATTCCCTTCAAAATCAACACATGGACCAGGCATAGGCAAACTCGGCCCTCCAGATGTTTTGGGACTACAACTCTCATCACCCCTAGCTAACAGGACCAGTGGTCAGGGATGATGGGAACTGTAGTCCCAAAACATCTGGAGGGCCAAGTTTGCCTCTGCCTGACATGGACCATCCTGCAACAATCATCCTGCCCTCTGCCCCATTTTAATAGGATGAGAATTGTCTATCATTTTAATGCAACAGTATCAATCTTCCTAACTGCTGGCATATGAGGCCACCACCTGGCTGAAGTCAAGGACGTCTGTGGAGACAACCGCACCCAGCAGGCAGCATTTCATGCTTTCTCCCAGCTACTGTGCAGTAACACTTTGCCATCAAGGATGGTTAAACAGCTCCCATTTTAGCTAAGAGCAGGGTCCCTTACAATAGCCTTTATATAGATAGTATTCTGACTGTTCAAAGCACTTTGTAGGCATTATACAAGGATGGACAAAAAGATGAATTTGATTAAAAGAATTTTGAGGGGATATATAATATAACAGGGACGTGGGTGACGCTGTGGTCTAAACCGTAGAGCCTAGGACTTGCCGATCAGAAGGTCGGCAGTTCGAATCCCCGCGATGGGGTGAGCTCCCGTTCCTAGGTCCCTGCTCCTGCCAACCTAGCAGTTCGAAAGTATGTCAAAGTGCAAGTAGATAAACAGGTACCGCTCCGGCAGGAAGGTAAACGGCATTTCCGTGCACTGCTCTGGTTCGCCAGAAGTGGCTTAGTCATGCTGGCCACATGACCCGGAAGCTGTACGCCGGCTCCCTCGGCCAATAAAGCGAGATGAGCGCCGCAACCCCAGAGTCAGGCATGACTGGACCTAATGGTCAGGGGTCCCTTTACCTTTACCTGTTATAGAGCAGCCTTCATCAATGGCCATGGAGAGCTGTGGCTGATGGAGATTGAGGTCCAAAACATCTGGAGGGCACAAGGTTGGGGAAGACTGAACTAGCTGGGCATTTAGTCTGATCCAGCACAGCTCTTTTATTTGTACATCTGCAGTCCTCACAAGCCCAGTGGGATTATACACAGCAGAATGGGGAATGGGAAGACAGTGGCCTTCTATGAACAGGGAGGTGGCATGGGAATTGGTGAAGGAATCGTGAAGACCTCAGATCAGAAGGGCAGGTTGCTGGGGAACACAAGTTGGATGGGCACAAGTTATAAAATATGCCAGTTTATTTTAGTATATTATCGTTGTTGTTGTTGTTGTTGTTGTTGTTATTATTATCCCACCTTTTCCTCTGACAGGACTCAAGATGGCTTACAGATAAAAATAAGAACCACTACAAACAAAGAAAAAAATCAATCATTAAAATACAATTAAACACTGGTAGAATTAAAACTATATACATATAGAAAATCTGTTTAAAACATACCAATAATTACAATAAAACCAGCATGGCACCAACCCTTTCATTAAAAGCAGCCAGTCTTGTTGGAACAAGAAAGTCTTCATCTGCTGGTGGAATGACAGAAGGGAGGAAGCCTGTCTAGCATCTCCAGGGAGGGAGTTCCAAAACTGTCTGGAAGCAGCCACCACCGAGAAGGCCCTCTCCCGCGTCCCCACAAAGCGTGCCTGTGAGGGGGGTGGGACCAAGAGAAGGGCCCCTCCCAAAGATCTCAGAGCCCAGGCAGGTTCATACGGAGGAATACTGCCATTCAGATAGCTTGGACCTAAGCCCTGTAGGTGATAGCCAGCACAGTTTGACTTGTGCCAGGAAACAGACTGGCGGCCTGTGGAGCTGTTCTAGCAAGGGAGTCACCTGCTCCCTATAACCAGCCCTAATCAACAATCTGGCGGCAGCCAGGTATGTGGGGCTGCTTACATTTTTCAAGAGCAGCCCCGCATAGAGTGTGTTACAGTAATCCAAACAGGAGATTAAAAAAGCATGTGTCAATGGCCACATCTAAATTGGGATGGTTCAAACTAGCAAGACCAAGGAGAAAGTTTTAAGGTTGGCAGGCAGAGCTAGTGAAATCCAGAGGTTTCCATCAACCCAAGTGCATACCACTACAAAACTAAAGAATTGGCAAATTCTTGCAAATTCTGGGTCGAGGTGACTACAGTGTAATAGCGCCCTCCTGTGGTTAAATCATGAGGACATTTTGCAAAAAGACTACAGTGATTTGGTGAAAAAGTCTACTTCCTATCAAAAGTTATTTTATTAGAATATTGTTCAGGCCTGTCCACCCACTGCAACCACATTTCTTTTAAAATAAGAGCAAAAAAGATACATACACTTACCGAAACATTCTTCTGCCTAGTGTTCTAGAGAGAAGGTGCCAACATTTTGCTCAGAGTTGTGCAACAGAAAGCTCCAGTTCATAAAATTCTCTCTTCACGCACACAAACTCCTGAGTCAATATTCAGCCCCAAACCAAGACCACACACTCAGGAGAATGTCCTCTTGGGACACTGAGCTCTCCAGCAGCGTCTGCCCCTGCTTAGCTTGCCCAGTCTTTAGAAAGGGTTACAAGAATTTTTGTGTGCTCATTTCAAAAAACATTTATGGGAACAATTTGCTTTCTTATGAGGTATGCCTGGCTCTATCACAATTAACTTCCAGGAGGAATTTGAAAACATTCCCATTTGCTGAGGCAATTGCTGTTGGCATCTGTCTGTCTCAAAAGACAATGGAGTGTGCTTCTCGGGGTGAAGTCAAACTGCTGCATCAGCAGCACTAAAGTGACCTCCCTGGGGCACCAACCTCAGTGTGGATGGAGGTCCTGGGCTGACCAGACAACAAAACCCCCCTCTCGGCCTTGCTGGTGTGGTCTAAAGGAAAGCAGAGACAGGTGTTTAGCACCAGCTGGGCTGCAGGAGTTGTCTGAAGGGGGTGTACAAGGCACCACCCAACTGTCTTAGGGATTCCACTCTGGATTTGTGTAGGCTTTTACTCCTTAGCCTTTTCTTCTCCCCAAGACGTCCTTGGTGGCTGAAGAATACTGTTCCAGGTAACCTTAAGATCATTGGATGGAAGAATGCTTTCAATCTTTTCCACTCCAACTGCTTTTGAATGTTTTTAACTATAACTGATGTTTTTAATCGTAATTGTTTTTTGAATTGTTTTCATCTGTTTCAGATTTTATTTTCTGCTTTGTTTGCTGCCCTGGGCTCCTTAGGAAGGAAAGGAGGGACATAAATTCAATAAATACAGTAAATAAAAATATTGCCATTAGCAATTATGCTGTGGTTTCATTTGCTGTATTAGTTAATGTTTGCAATGTTGTAGCATTTTGTAAGCAGCCCTGTCTTGAAAAAGAAAATCAGCAAAAACAAAATATTTCTAGTTATCTTTGGAAGGAAACGAGCCACCTCTTGATGACCTCTTCTCAGAAATGCACATTGGGGGGAAATTCAGGATGGCTGAGGCATTATCATTCATTCATTTCATTTATATCCCATCTTTTCTCCAAGAAGCTCAAAGTTGGCATACATAGTTCTTTTCCTCTCCACTTTATCCTCACAACCCAGTAAGGTAGGTCAGGCTGAGGTTAGGCTCAAAGTCACCCAAGGAGCTTCAAGGCCTAAACTCATTGCCAAGCCTTCACGTGAACTAAGTGCAATAGAGTGTGGGGTGCAGACCATCAAGCAAACTGAGGCTTCAAGTCTCTCCTTTGCTGCTGCTGCTGCTGCTGCTACCTGCCTACTCTGGGTTCTTTAGTGGCCTCTGGAAGAAGAGGCTTGGTCGCAAATGCTGCCTGTCATTTCACCCCAAGTTGTAGTTAGCACAAGCCACAGTTTCCAAACCAACTTCAAAACGGATGTTTCCTTTTCTGGCTTACCAGTTACAAACCACAGCTTGGTTCTGATGTCTGAATTAAGCCTATTGCAGTATAATTACTCACAGGACACATGATCCCCCACCACTGCATTTGAAAATGTTACATGCTTTCAAAAGTAGCCCCACAAATGTGTTTCCCCCCCACTCCTAGACAGAAAAGAGGGATGAAAGGACTTCTACCAGTTTCTGACACAAATGCCAATTACCCTCTCAAACATTCAAAGGCAACTGTCTTAAATGTTGTAACAGAGCTATTCATGAGCTCTAGAGAGCTTTAAAAAATAAATGAATGAATAAACAACACAGTTAGAAACGAGCTTGTAACCAGAGCTTGTCTTTGCAAGCCTCCCCACCTAGCAGAGCACTCAAAGTGCCCACCTGCATCGGTCCCAGGTGCAAGCCCTCCCCAGGGTGGAAAAAGGCCCTCTGGGTCACTTCTGACACAGAAAGCAGTACTGTGACCCAGGTTCATTTGGTTCGGCTGGGAGATGGGGACTGGGTATTTTGTTGACTGAATCCGAGCGCAGACAGGATGAGGTTTCAGTGGCTGGCAAGTCTGGGATTTAAAGGTGCCAGCCTTCTCATTACCAACAGGCTCCAGCCCTTCTATCTGGGCATGTCCACAGGTTTCGAGTTCACCTGAATTCAGCAATGCACATATAGTACCAGCAGCCAAGGAATGTGGGTTACCACAAAGGCCATGACTGCAGGCGCTAACACCCCGTTACCGGCACAGTTTATGTTAATTTTAATCCTGAATCCTGCCAACATCGTACACCATCCCTAGTGAAAGTCAGCTGACAAGGAGCAGGAGCAGCACAATCCAAAACAACACTGTGATCGCTGTAGTAAAGAAGAGACACTTATCACTGGCCTCAGCCTGCTGCAAGGATCTCCTTTTAGTTCAGTTTGGGGTGGCAACAGAACTGAAGAAGTGGTGAGCAACAAGCCCCCACACTAGCAAGCCTGCATGATGACTAAAACACACAAGGCGCTGGGAACCAAAGAGATCCTAGGTGAGCTTCCAAACTTCATGAGCCATGCAGGCTTCCAGAACAAAGTATGTGCTAGTGCAGGGCTTCTGAAAGGGAGCAGTACAGCCCCTGGGGAATCACCTAGAGGGCACTATGTGGCAGCCCCCCCCCAACAAGCACATCAACCACTTATTTACAACTGACCAACCTACAGCCCAGCAAAATGCCTTCCTCACTTTGTATTTTAAGCTCTACTGCTCTATTTTTATAGGGTAGGGCAGGGGGCACTGGGGATGAGTTTGTGGAACTGAGGGGGCAGTGCCCCCTCCAAATGGGACCCACTGTGCTAGAGGCACAATGAAAAGCAGGAAGGCCAAGGCGTGAAGGGGCTGAGGAGGCAAGTTCGACATAATGATTAGAAAATTCATCCAGGTCATTTGACCACTGTCTCTGGTTTGGTTTCCTTCCTATTTTTCAGCACACAAGATACCCTTCAGACAATGCTAAAGGAATAGTTTTCTCCCTTTAATTTGTAACCTGGGTGCAACTTACTACCTCCAGTCACCCAATCGCTAGAAGCAGGCAAAGAGACACATGGTTTCCCAGATAATGGGAAACAGAAATCAAACTACTAACCATGTTGTTTTGCCATAGCACTCAGTAGGTGTTTCACCTGTGTTCCTGTGTGTACGACAGTTGAGATGTACAAATCAACAAATGTACACCCTTTCATACAAACACTAGCACCAGTGTTGAATGCAAGGTGTGTAAAGGTAACATGTACCCCTAACAGGAAAATATGGTGTTAGGAAGATGATTGGCTGACATTCATGAACTCTGAGCCAGCAAGGGCCCTTGCCTAAGTCACACCCCCTTCCATGGGATCCCCTCCCACAATGAGTCTACGGCCTTAGCCCCATGATCATCAGCTGCTCCTTCCTCTTCATTCCAACCACCTGCTTCCTTGCCAGGCAGACAGAGCCACAGAGCAAGCAGGCAGGACCCTCCTTGCCCCATCAGGAGGAGCACCCCCCGCCACTGTTGTCAGGGAGAGATGGGTGGGCAAGCAAGCTGGTGAAGAGGGTGAAGAAGAGCAGGTGCCTCTTGCTGGGGTGAGGGTCCTCAGCAGATGCCCACCCATGCCAACCTTTGACAATGGTTCTGGGAGCCACCAGAAGCGCTTACAGAGCAAATTTCTCAAGGAGTTTTACTAGGCCCAAAGACTGAATACCCCACTCCAGATTACATTTCTAATTGTAGCAGACTCTGACATCTCTGTGTAAGGGGAGGGGGCTAGGAAGAAGCAACGGGGGAATAAATATTTTTCTACCCTTTGAAGGCCACTAACAATAGAACTAGATTTGCCTTCCTCAACCTACTGTTTATTTTTATTTATTTCATAAAATTTATATGCCTTTTGATTGTTAAACAACAAACCCTCAAAGCGCTTTACAAAAAGAATAAAACAATAAGATTATCAGTAAAAACAGCTAGGTAAATAATTAAAATCAGTGATAAGTTAAA